ATCCTGGGAGGTCTTTGGGGGTATCTCATGGTGGGCAATGGTGGAACCTCTGCTGCTCTTCTAATGGTTTGTTCTTGGGGTTGTCACCTGGCACCATTCCTGGGTGACCACGGAGATGGTCTGAGGGCTGGAGCAGCTCCCATGCGAGGACAGGCTGAGAGAGTTGGGGGTGTGCAGCCTGGAGAAGAGAAGGCTCCGGGGAGACCTTCCAGGACATTCCAGTGCTGAAAGGGGGCTACAGGAGAGATGGGGGGGCTCTGGGTCAGGGGGTGCAGGGACAGGATGAGGGGGAACGGTTTGAAGCTGAGAGAGGGGAGATTGAGCTGAGATATTGGGAAGAAATGTTTTCCTGTGTGGGGGGTGAGGCAGTGGCCCAGGGTGCCCAGAGAAGCTGTGGATGCCCCATCCCTGGAGGGGTTCAAGGCCAGGCTGGATGAGGCTTTGGGCAACCTGGGCTGGTGGGAGGTGTCCCTGCCCATGGCAGGGGGTGGCACTGGATGGGCTTGAAGGTCCCTTCCCAACCCAAACCATTCCATGATGCTATGATCCTATGAGCTTGCTGTGTAGCCTTGCTCGACCCTTTCTGGGCTCCATCTTTAGCTCAGCCTGGACGCAGATGCCAGCAGCACCCCTCTGCTGTGACACTCGCCCAGGCCGGTGTCCCCCTGCAGCAGGGCTGCAGCAAGGGCAGAAGGAGAGCAATCGTCTCCATCTCCTGCCCTGCTTCCCGAGACCTCATGGCATTTCATAGAATCACAGGATGGTTTGGGTTGGAAGGGTCCTTAGAGATCATCTAGTTCCACCCTCTGCTATGGGCAGGGACACCTCCCACTGGACCAGGGAGTCCCTTTATCCCTTTGCGGGTTCAGGTTCCTCCTGGTGCCCGGTGGCCTGTGGTGGAGCAAGGCAGAAGGTCAGTCTCCACAGGACGGGCTTCTGCTTCCACTTCTGCTTCTCCCCAGCAGCTGGGGGAGGCTCAGGCCCAGCAGAACCCTCTTCTTGCTGCTCTTTGGGTACAAAAGCAGCCACCATGGTGTCCCCTGGAAAGCTGAAAGCTCACGTGCAAAGCTTAGTCTTGTTTCTCGCTGGGGCACCAGGCCTGGAGATGTTTGTATGTCCTCTCATCACCCGAATTCTGGCTCAGCACCGCTTTG